TACCAGAGAACTTTATATGATTTACTGGGCCTATCGAAATTTAAAACTAAATTATCCTGACTAAATATAAAAAGCCACTTGAGTATAAGGAAACAAGCTGTTTGTAGTCTGAAAGCCAATACTTTTATTTGGAAAAGCCCAATAAAAATCAACTCCTCCCAAATGTACCACAATCTTTACAGTAATCTGCCCCAGTCCATATGTTATCCTATACTATTCCCAACGCACATGGTCCCACTGTTATCTACTGTCCTCTACCACAAACCTCAAAAATGGCATTCTTTCAATTTCCCCAGCTTACACCATCCCTATCCCTTTAATAAAAAAACAGGAGTTACAGAACCTCAAGAGAATTTTTAAAAAAAGATTTTAAAAAAGTTGAAAAAGTATTGGCGGCCGGCCTCTGCACCCAAGTTCTTTTCTCTTATACCTAAGAACCTGTCACTTATTTCACCCGCCTCCTGGGTGTTCCTGGACAATCCACCTCACTAACAGTACAAAAAGACTTACGAGAAGGTTCTTTATGTGATCCCTCTGTCCTAGCTTCACTATTTAATCATTCAATCCTTCCAGCTTTATCCTGACATCACGTATCAAACTCACACAAACCCTAGACAGGCCCGCCACACACCATACACTATCCTCCTCAACACGTTCCAGTCCAATGTGAAACCTCCCTAATATCGGTCCCTTCCTTTAAGAGCCCCTCCCGGATTCCCAACACAGTCTCAGAGTTCCAAACTCCCCAACTCTGCTAAGCACCATCCCAGCCAGGTTACACCCTCTCCAACCTGAAATCCCCACGCCTTCCGGGGCCTCAATCACCAAGCCCAGTACCCGCCCCATGCCGGGCATTCCCTCCCTGTCCCTTTGGGGTCCTTTCCTCCGGCCTGGCCAGACCCCTGTGAGCTCGGGCTGCTCCCGGGCCGGGCTCTCCGGCTCTAGCACTCCAGCTCCGCCCCCAGCCCCTCACCGAGCAGCAGCAGCTTCACTTCTTTGGCCGCTTTCTCCCCGTCCTCCCGCAAGTTGCGGTCGATCATCTTGCTCCGCTCCACCGCCGCCTTGTCCTCGGCGCTTAACGTGCAGCCCATGGCGGCGGCAGAAGAGGGGACCGGGCCCGGGCTCACTCACACACCGCGGGAACCGCGACACACCGGCGGAGACGCGTCTTCTGCTGGGCGGTGGCCTTCTCCGTCAGCTCCCCTAGAGCCCGGAAGAACCGGATATCTGCTCTTCACGACACTTCCGGCGACGCCCAGCGGCCGTTACTACTTAGAGCGCTGTGGCAGTGGGCGGCGGAGGAGGTACGGAAAGCGGAAGTCCCTGAGAATCTGGGTATTCCCGTGGAGAGTTGGTGATCCGTCCTCCGCACCTCCCAGCCTGAATACCCTTCTACTTCTTGGGCTCCTGGACTTTGGTTCCAAGAGTAGGTAGAAAAAGCGGGACTTCCAGCACACGGTGTGCTCTTGAGGACGCACTGGAGGTTTGATGGTGAGGATAGATTCCCAAATAAGAGCTCACAGCCCTCTAGGAATTTCTAGTGGGAAAAGTCTCCCACTCCAGAAAAAAACCTTTTCCTTTTCATCTGCGATTGTGGAGCTCGGGTCTCTGCCCAAAGCTGAGTGTTGGACGCTTCAGCCAAAGTTCCCTCAGTCTGATCTTTGAGATGCCCAGCCTGGGTTTTTATCCATTCCTCAGGCTACACCTGTTATGCCAAGTGTATCTAAGTCCTTCTGCTACTACGTACGAATTTCTGTGAGCTGGCACTCCTATGTTGGCAAAGGATCACTCGAAAAATAGGTACTAAGTATTAGAACTTGAAAATAGGTGTACTTCATTTATAACATTTCCGTGCTTCCCTTTCTCCAATATAAACCAACGGTGAACTACTCTGAGGACATAGTTCCATACCCAGAAGTAAACTAGCGCATCCTTCTCTAATCTAACAAGGATTCCTGTGATAAGCACAGAAAAGGGGAGCTTAGTAAAAGTCATCTCTCTACTATCGCCTGAATACTTGTGAATCATAACACTGTGAAGAATATCCCAAAGTACCTTCACTGCCAAATAACCCCACAATGTCTCTCACCACCAGTTTTAGGAAGGGGTACTTTTTGCAGCCATTGAAACTTTTCCCTGGAATTTAAAACATTTCTCTAGTAGGAGGTAAACTTAAAATACAAATTCCCAACAGAAAGGTCTCTAGAGTGGAAATTAATGAATTAGAACCATTTTATTAGACTAACCTCATTCACTTCACCTGTAACGCTTATCAACTCCAAGTCTGAAATTCTCCCACACATTTCTAAATGACCATTAAAAAGAAACAGGCTGCTTTTCCTTTCTGATCATTTCTTGGGGGGAAAGTACAAAAGGAAAGTGGAAAACACAATGTTTCTTGAGTACTTGTTTGCCAGGTAGGTGCTTGTATGTCTCATCTCTTAATCCTCACAACAAGCCTGTGACGTAGGCAATATCGATCCCCATTGTCCCCATGAGGAAATGGGCTCAGAGAAATCAAGTAATTTTCCCACGGCCACACAGTGAGCACATCATGCCTAGTTTCATACTTCATTCTTTCTACCTGGCCTCTAGAAGGGATTGCTCGGGAACACCTGACAACAGAGAGTAAAGATTTTGGATGGCCGTCACCTCAATACCAAGATGTTGGCAACACTGATTGACAAGATGATTGTCTCACCATGTTGCTTTCTCAGCATGTAAGGAAGACTGTCCAGAAACAGCTAGTAAGAGCTAAGGAGTGTATATTGAACTTTACCAGTATGTCTCAGTGACTAGAAAATTCCTGGAAGGTGGCCATAGCAAAACTTGCGGAGAAAGTTCTCTTCATAATAAAAGGAAAGTTTTACTTTCTTTATGATCGGTTCCTACAGCCAGGGAAAAAATGGCAGCTTACTAGTTAATGACAGCAATGTGTCAGTATGACTTAGAAATACCCTGCTCTTAAAGCTTCCTTTAAATACGAAGCAAGGGTTGAAGGGCAAAGTTAAAAGAGAAAAATTAATAAAATGGCTGCCAAGCAATGTTTAACACACACACACACACCCTTCATGTGTACATTTCCTGTTTCTACTGGGTTCACACTGCCCTCTGCTGGCTGTTTCTGAGTCTACTAGCTGATTGGTGGATTAATAGTATGTGAAAGTTTTTCTCTTATGATGTACTAGGAAGAAGCTTTCTCAACATGAATTTTATCTCAAAAGAAAGGGAAACGGTTTTAAAGTCGGAAGGACTCTCCTTTGCTGTATGTTACTTTCTAAAGGATTTCCTCAGTGTAACAGGCACTGGACTAGAAGAACACACAAATGATAGCAAGACCTGGAAGTGTACCTAAGCCAAAAGGGGGAAAAAGCTGTTTGCCCAGGTTTATTTAGTAGATTATTTTCTTCATTAGAGAGTTTTGCTTACAACCTGCATGAAGTCTCCATGTACCACTTCAATAAATTCTCAAAAGTCAGGACCATAGATATATTTTCCTTACTGTACAACTTTATCAGACCTAAATGCTCTACAAAAATGCAAATATCTTATCCAGTTAGATGGTGAAGTCCTTGAAGGCAGAGATGACACATCAAGTGTGTGTGCCCCAGGGGGTGTTGCTGTTCAGCTATGCATTGAATAGAACCGAAGGAGTCAATGTTGATATTAATATAACTTTTTATCATAAAATTTATTGGTTGTTCAAAGGGGAAACTACTCCACCCCAACCCACTTTCCCCCTTTCATGTTCAGTGAACCAGATATTTGTTCAGATATAGACCACATCACCCTCTGGTCCTACCTTGACCCTTTAGTTTTCAGCTAAGGGAAACGGAATGAACAGAACCCAGAGGGGAAGCCTGTCCAGTTTGCAATTAATCCCTCTCCACTGAAAGTAACACTGCTGATATTAACCAACACGGTTCCTATAGTCTTAATCAATAAGCAGCAAAGCCCAATTCTCTGCTCTCTCTCCAACCTAGGGCTGCAGGTAGGAGACAGATTTAAGTCTTTGTTACAGAAGCTAATTTTGAGAGCAATGAATGAGAACAGGGAAGCGTTTCGTGGACTATGGAAACCCCACCCTTCCCGTGCCCGACCTGAGTCTCTTGTACCCGAATGTCCAGGGGGCTGGAAGTGGGTCACTGCCATGAGGAGATAGATCAGGGAGGCCAGTCCTGGAAAGAAAAGATTGGCAGTATTATTGATCGGAGTAATTTACCTGGCCTTTCTGTATCCAGCCACGTTACCAATTCAAAGGCTAACACCCACCCTCAGCTCTCTGACCCCTGAGTCATTCTAGTTACTCAAAAGACAGGGAGGAAAGGGGCATCCTGTCTCCTGCTCATCTCTGCTGAGGTCGGGGCCCACACTTGGTCTCCTACATGCAGGAAAGAGAAGACAGGAGAGAGCTGCAGAGTTTTCTGTCTTCTCCTCCACTACCGTACTTGCAATTTAGTTCACCCCTACAGGTCTTCTCGCTTTAGACATTAACTTTTAGGAAGAGATCTATTAACTCATGGAAACACTTGGCTAGTTTTGTCCTTTTTTAACCTAGTTAGCAGATGAGAAGATGTGGGCCGTTTTCTTACCTTGTCTCAGTGTAAGTATTAGTCTGGACTATTACACTGGAAAAAAGTAAACCTCAACGGTCCCCAGAATAAATGCTCCTAGCCTGCTGCTCCAACACCTACCCTTAGGAAGTTTCCCTGTCTCCTGAGGCATGAGGAGTTCACTGGTAGAAAGGCTGCCCCTCACCTTTGTCACCCTTTTCTCTCATCACCGTCTCACCATACCCAGGTTCCCTCCCCCAATAGTCAAAGATCACAGCCAAGTCCAAGGATTTTTGCCACACGTCCATCCTGTTGACTCTGGTCCTGACCCAGGAAACACCAAACAAAAGCTAAGTCCAAAGACCCTAGCCCAAACCCTGGCCAGTAGGAAAAGAAGTCCTTGAGATCATAAACCAGCCCCAAGCCTCATTTCCCTCTTAGTGTCCATCATGACTCCAGCCTTGGTGAGGGGGCGGGACGGAGGTAGCTGTCCGACATGATGATGTCGCTGGTGAGTTGCTGCTCCAGGAACTCTGAAGTCTCCTCAGCAATCTGGCCTGGGATTCGAAAGTCAACAGCAGGCGGTGGCTCCCGCTTAGGGCTGGGTAGGGGCCGAGAAACCCAGTTCTCAGAGGTCCCCTGGAGGAACTGTAGGAAGTTCTCCTCGATAGAGCCCTCGCGACTAGGCAGCCTCAGCTCTTCCTCTGGAGCTGCCTTGAAGAAGCAGACAAACTGTTTGCTAAGCTCACCCCGGATCTGACGGTTGAGGCATCCGTAGAAAAAAGGGTTGGAAGTGAAGCAAAAGTAGCCAATCCAGGTCACCACGTTCTCCACCTGTCCTGTTGAAATGGGCTGAGCGCTCAGGGCAACATAGAGATGGAAAGAGAAGTAGGGCAGCCAACAAAGCAAGAACTGTCCCCCTACAGCAAGGAGGACCACTGCTGCCTTCCCACCCCCAAACGTCCGGTGTGGGGTGGTCTGGTGAGCCCCAGAGCTGGTGACCATAGTAGAGCGGCTACTGAGAGACTCAGAGCGTTGCCGGGGCGTCTCCATCCACGTGGGCAGCGGCCCGTGTTGCATGGCAGCCACGCGAGCCACTCGAAACATGCTGCAGTAGACCACAAAGATCAGGATCAAGGGCAGCAAGAAGTAAAGAACAGCAAAGACCACCACGAAAAGCTGGCAGTAGGCACTATGGCTCCATTGGAGAGAACAGCCGTGGTTAACACTGGGAGCTCCTTCCTCCCAGTAGACCCTTCCCAACACTGGCACAGAAGCCATGGCCAGGGCCTTTACCCACACGCCCACCAGCACGGAGGCCACCAGCCCTAGTGTCATGCGCACCTCGTAGCGCATGGGGTGGACCACATAATAGTAGCGTTCCACATTAATGGCAGACACCGAAAGGATGGCCAGGCTGACAAAGCAAACGCTTAAGAACAGGTAGAGACGGCAGGCCACCTCCCCAAAGAGGGCATGGTCAAAGAGGGCAGAGCTGGAGAGCATGGCCAGGGGCATGAGGGTCAGGGCAGCCAGCAGGTCCACCAGACAGAGATGGAAGACAAAAACAAATTTTCGAAGGGCGGGTGTCTTGGCAATAACAGCCATCACAGCAGCATTGCCAGCCACAGCGGTGAGATCCAACAGGAGCATGAAGAAAAGGGCCACAGATTCTGAAGCCACGTCCCGTAGTCCCAACTCTGGGACTCCGCTGGCAGTAGAGGGACCTGGGGTTTGAAGGGCCCTTCCCAAAGTGGACGAGTTTCCTGATGACTGGGGGATGGGTGAGGACTCCATGGGGCCGAAAGAGGACACCCAGGGCACTTCCTGTTACAGGCCCATCCCCCATCCTACTCCACAACCCTGGGATGTAAGCCCAGGTCCAGGCTTCCCAATTTTGTTGGGGGGCCTTCTGCTGGAGCCTATAAAACAGGCTCTTATCACCAGCCTTCCATGGGCTCCTATGTAGACAGAGTGTCAGGCAAGGCTTCTCCAAACTCACGAGCTCATGTCCAGTTTCTGTCAGAAGGTACCCCACGGGTCAGCCCCGTGATGGGAAGTAGCAGCCGTGTAAGGGACAGATCCTCACATGCTGTGCAGTACTCCACTTTCTGAGTGGCCTGTGGCAGCTCTTTTCCCGCTTTCTTTTCTAGTTCTCCATGCTCTTCTTCCCTTTCGAGGGCAGTTCTAAATCCTCCTCTGTCTCCCTTCTCCAGGGTTCTGCTTTGCTCTAGGACAGTGCTCTGGCTTTAGGGTTGATTTTGTGAAATTTCTGATTTTCTCATCAGAATGGGGAGTAGAAGGAGCACGAGACTCAGCTTCTTGTTCCAGGTGTGGAAATTACTCACTCTGAAGCGCTTCTGGACTCCAGTTTCCTCATGAAGGCATCTGTAGAAGGAAGAAACAACATCTATTTTGTAACTGTCCGTAGGGTCTGGTCTGGTTGCTTTAATAGTATCATCATATACAATAATGATCACATGGTACTCTACTCGGGCCAGGCCCTGACCTATGCACACTGTGTCCATCAGAGCATCCTCATTCTCATGCAATCCTCTGAGACAGATAACATGATCTTCATGTGTCCACAGACAGACCTGCTGCCAAGAGAAGTCAAGGAGCACACCCAAGATCATACAGTCAAATGTAGTCTGGCTCCAGGGACATTCTTTTGCCTACCATGTCGTTCTATGCAGGAGAGTAGCCTCCATATCAACTAGAATCTAGTAGGCTTCCAGTAAATCGTGGTTGAACTTGAACAGATCCTAATGTTAACTATCACCTGGAAAGGTCAGCTGTACCTTAGTCCCTACTGACATCATCACTCCTAAGACAAAGGGCTGCTAGTTTGGGTCTGATGAGAAGCCACAAGGAAGACAGTAACACCAGCTCCTCCACTCCTGAACTCCCAAGGCCAGAGGACACATGCTTCTGAAAGCTGTCCTTCTCTACCTACTTTTTAGTTTCTCAGGGCTACGGTGTCCTGGCCAGCAGAGGAACAGAGCTCCTAACCTCTCATTCCCCAGATTCCCACGTAGCTGGTCATTGCAACTAACCAGGGATTGCTCATCCCAAAGCCCTGTTGTTTCTAACCTCTTCCCATGGTCACAGAACAAAGGGTGAAGGTAAGTGCCCATTTGAAAAGGGTGAAGGTGTTGTGGGCCAGAGTAGAGGACTGCCATTATAGAACTAGGTACACATAAAGCAGACAAAACCAGACTCAATCAGCACCTCCCGTATCTCCTGGTCAAATGGCAGGTTCCATCTGATGTATGTATCATCATGACATTAAGTTTGCATATAATTGAAATACATTGTCCCCAGTGTAATCAACTTACTTTCTTTTCTTTTTTTAAAAAAATTTATTTATTATATGTAAGTACACTGTAGCTGTCTTCAGACACCCCATAAGAAGGCATCAGATCTCATTACGGATGGTTGTGAGCCACCATGTAGTTGCTGGGAATTGAACTTATGACCTCCGGAAGAGCAGTCAGTGCTCTTAACTGCTGAGCCATCTCACCAGCCCAACTTATTTTCATATATACATGAAATATATATACTACATATTATACTGTATATAATGTATATTATTATATATTCATATGTATACATGTACATATACATATATATTCTCTTCATACAGTGTGCTGAGTTACACAGCGTAGAGACAACCCGCAGTGCCAAGTCTGATGGTTGTTCTGTAGACAAGTTAAAAGTTTTCTGGGCCACACTTTCTGCATCTGTGAAATGGGAGGGTTGGATTTAAAAACCGTCAAGCTGCCTATGTATAACATTTTAGTACTCTGTGAGCTCCTGGGCTGAGGAGCACCTGGTGGTGGCTCCACTTAAAAAAAAAATCTATCTTCTCTCTAGTCGCAGTGAAGAGAACCACATAGCCTGCCAGAGCCTCAGTCCTCTCAAAGTTATCTTACATCCACCATAGGTTTTGGGTGTTACCATAAAGCTTGCACTAACCCAGCTTCTAACATGCCACGCATATATTAGGTGTTCAGTGAAATTATTGTGAACTGAATCAGACTCAAATTGACTAATTGAATCCTGGCCCCAGAGTACAAACTCCTGAAATATTCAGTCAGTCATCTGTGTGCCAGCCAGGGGATTCTCTTCTGAGGAGGATAGCCCAGGCTCCTGGATTTGCGGCTTCCCTAACTTTGGACAACTGCCTAGAGACTTGCCTCTCTCCAGGGAGATGTCAGATTCGCCTAAGACAGTCTACCAGGGAAAGTAAAATGTTTAAAAGAAATCCTAGAGGATGCATCGTTATCCTTTACCCCTGCATCCATTCTACCTGGGAGTGGAGCCTAAAAGATGTATCCAAAGAAGGAAGAGTCCATCATGTGTAGATGGACAGCAGGAGTTCAATCCAGCAATAGCCAGCTACAATCCCTGACTGAGAAAAGCATTTCCTGTGGACACACAGACACAGAGGGGTGCTCTGCAGCCATGATGGAGCCTTAGGCAGGCAGGCACCGGGCATTTTTCTTTCTTATAGTTCCCTCCCCAGGCACCCCCTCCTCAGTCTTCTCAAAAATTCTACAGTGACTTCAAATTCCATGGTTTCCAATTTACCTCGTAAGAGACACACCAATATAGTTGGCTACTTAGTACTCTCTCATTGATGGAAGGTTGTGAAGGGGAGGGCCGTGGTGTCATGGCTTCATAGGGGAAACCCAAGGAGTCTGACTCCACTCCTAGCTCATGTCATCATGCCTCAGTGGACGCTCGCATCCTCCCACTGCTTCCTTCAATACCACCTCCTCATCTTCAAGACCTTCAAGCACCTGGAAGGCCTTGACACTACAGGCTCTGAGGTCTGGCCTCTGGCTCTTGGTCAAGGGAGAGGTATCCTCACTTGAGGATGTAGGATGTGCACACGTGCCTAGCCCAAGGCCATCTAGGTATTGCTGGGATTCTCAGATACCTGTTTCTCACATCCAGAGCTTCTATGCCAAGGATCAGAGTCTGGCCTGCCTTCAGGCAAGAACACGGGCCTCTTAGGCCAGGGGAGATTTCCAGAGACCTTCAACACCTCTTCCTAGCAGAGCTGCCCACGCCCAGGAGTTAGATACCCATCATCCTGGAATGCCGAAGGGCCTATCCAGGGATGTGGGGACCTATCTCTATGACACTGAGCGAGGCAGACAGAGAATGCTGTCTGTTGCAGGGTGTAGTTTCTCTGGCCAGCAGAAGATGATCAACCTCCCATTTCTTGGGTTTAGAGATGCCCACATGCCAATACTACCTTTGGGACACCCGAAAGCCCATCCCATGACAGAACTGCCCACCACAGGACAGGGTGGGCTGCCCCTTGGAATGCCATCCTTCTGTAAGCTGAGACAGCACTCATCACCAGGCCCTGGGTCTGCCCCGCATCCCTGGCCTAGTCGGCAACTCCTACCTTTGCCAAGCAGCTCCCAGCTCCTATGTGATAGCTCTTCTCAGCTGATGCCTCTCCAAGGCTGCTGAAGCCTGAACCACTGCAGTGAGCGGAGAGAAGCAGCCAGCAGAGCAGGATGCTCAGAGAGCTTCTGGGTCCTAGTGGCCTCCTGCTATCCACCAGCCCATTAGAGGCACTTCTGGAACAGACAGCTGGGCCTCAGGGTTCCCAGGTAGAGTGCTCAGAAAGCACACTTCCTCATACTTCTCTCAGGATTCTGGACTGCATCTCAGAGCTTCCAGGAGCCAGAGGACAGCAAACAGGCAGGGGAAACCCTCCCAATGAGTTTCGTTAAAGAAAAAGCCCTGGGCACTTAATAGCTGAGTTACCTTGAGCAAGTCGTTTCCATTTGGCCTCTGTTTCTTATATGTTCAATAGGATTATGGGGTAGATGATCCCAAAAGTTTCTGGCTGCTTTGTTGTTTCTTGCCTGGTTCTGTACAATACAAGAACCAAGGTGCTTCTGTGGTAGGCAGGTCAGTGCACAACCAGAACTTCAAGATGAGACCTGGGAAAAGCTGAGGTTCCAGAAGCTGATCCATGATTTGACCTCCTTAACAAAACAACAAATCTGTATAGCAGACAGCTTGATGGCTAGCAGTGGGATTTGAGGAGAGTCAAAGGCCCTGTCTTTACCCAGCACTTGTTGCTGCCTGAAACACATCACTATTTGGACCGAAGCTCTGGGGGCTTATGGAGACAGAGGAATCTAATATCTCCTGAACGACCTTCCAAACAGCCACACTTCTGCTCCCTGAAGACAGAGCAGAAGCCAGATTGTCTGGAAGGCTCAGGTTGGTCTGCATTTATAGGGCTAGACAGAGCTAGGAGCACCATGCAGACTGTCGCCACCATATGACAAACAAGAGAAAAAGGGTCTGGCCTCCTGCTAGCTATGAAGAGCATTGTCAGTGACTGATACCAAGGATAGGTTCCTAAAACAGCAGCTTAAAACTTCCACAGAACATGGCCTCAATATTTTCTCTCTTTTAAGTTTATTCTATGTGTATGGGTGTTTTGTCTGCATATATGTATGTGCACTGCCTGTGTGCTGGCCACGGAGGTCAGAAGAGGATGTTAGGTCCCCTGAGACTGGAATTATGGATGGAAGTGAGCTGCCATGTGGGTGCTGGGAACCAAATCTGGGTCCTCTGCAAGAGACACAGTGCTGAGCTGACTCTCCAGCTCCAAATTATCCATTCATTCTCTCTCTCTCTCTCTCTCTCTCTCTCTCTCTCTCTCTCTCTCTCTTTCTCTTTCTCTCTCTCTCTCTCTTTCCCTTCCTTCCTTCCTCCTTCCCTCCCTCCCTCTTTCTCTCTTTCTTTCTTTCTCTCTCTCTCTTTCTTTCTCTCTCTTTCCTTCCTCCCTTTCTTTCTTTCTTTCTTTCTTTCTTTCTTTCTTTTCTTTCTTTCTTTCTTAGAGGTTTTTCGAGACAGGATT